TTTCTTGCTGTATTCGTTTAATTTGTTCAGATTGCTTGTTATTTAGTGTAAACCAACAACCAAGATATTTGAAGGGTTCATTAGTAGGTATGAACTTCAGTGTTAAGTTAATGAATGATATAGTAGTGGGTTTGGAATTTGTAGCGAATACAGACTTGTTAGGGTTAACTTGAAGATTGGCCATTTGGTAGAAAGACTTGGCAGTGAAGGTAATGTCATGGTGATAACCAACACCCCTTGTGTTGATATTGCTAGGGCTAGGTACGATCACGGGTCACCCGATCGTGACTGGGTAACGTTGATGGCGTGATTAGTGATGCATGAAATTAATTTAAAGTCTAATTGTAGAATTGTATAATGCGTGTAATCCGGTAATAATATATCTGAAGATAATCTTGTATTTAAATTTAGCAATCTCTAATAATAAACAATAAGTTTTAGCTTAGTGGAAAAACGTTCTAAAGGAAAAACTGTGTGGTCAACATTATAGTAATATTGGTGGAAGACTTGGTACGATACGCCAGTGCCAAGTGAGTGCAAAACCTAAGTGGAAACTAGCCAAAAGACCCCATAAGTGCACTATTGCATGACAGAAGGACCTGGGCAAGTAACAGCCTTACTCGCTGAGTCTCGTTAGATTTCGTACTATATGAATGACAAGAAAGAAACTGGGCAGTAGAACAGCTCTACTCATCTGAAATTGTTGTATTTGAACCTCATGGAAGCCCAAGAAGGTTGTACTTGCTAAACTTGGCCGTGATCAGTGAATTAGAGTTGTCCGGTTGATATTGCAAAGTTAAAAGCCATGATCAAACGTTGTGCTGAAGCACATTGTTAGTAAAGAGTGCCGTGAGTAAATAAGGACAATAGAAATACGAAAAGACATTGTTAGTGGATAGATAAAAATAAAAAATAAAAAAAAAAAAAAAAAAAAAAAACGAACATTACCAGAGTGGTGAATTCGAAGAGGATGGAAGGTGAAAATCATTTGTTGTCATTAGTTGAAAGTATGATAGGATTAGTTGTCGAAGTGGTAAAGAGTTTGAAGAAACAAAAGATAAAAGAAAAATGCTACAGACCTCAGTTGTGTTACGTTTGTCGACGTCAAGGACATTTGGCCTGTTCTTGCCCGGATCAAGCGAGACGTGAATGTCAAGAGCAAGTTATCGACGTACGGTTTTTGAGGATTATTGATCCCGAAGTCGATAGTAAAGAAGATGGAAGTCGAACTGAAAAAGGTAAAAGGGGAATGATTACTAATGGGACACTTGAAAATAAAACGATGCAAATGAGAAATAGAATCATACCTGTGAAATTCTTTGGAAAAAGGGTCGAATTTAACAAGCCAAAAGATGCTGAAATTGATATCGAAAAGAATAAACATAAGCCATTCATTCATTATCAAAGATTAGAAGAGACGGAAAGCGCTGAAGGAACAGGAACTGGAAAGAATGAAGGTGCAGAAAGAAATAAAAGCAAAACCGGTATTGAAAAGTCTGTGGGTATGAGTCTTGCAAGTGGAACCTTCGATCTTGAAAACTGTTGTCAGACTGGAATAGGTGTTGAAAAGGGTGACAAGAAGGCTTTTGAATATGGAGATCGAAGTAAAATAGAAAAGAAAAAACCTGCTGATAAAAGTAATGATAGTGGAAGACATGCTGTTGGACATTGTTATGAAAAAAGGATTGATGAAAAAGAAAGAAATGACGTGAGAAATAGGTCAGCAAGTAGTGATAAAACATATCAAAGAATTGATGAGGAAATTAGAGACCCACCTGGACTAAGTGACGATATAATCCTGAAGGTTAAATCTGCTGGTGAAATAAACGGTGATGAAGAGGAAAATGATGGAATTATGAAGAGAAAGATAAGAAATGGGATGTTATCGACGATCAACTGTAGTATGCAAAATCGAAGCATGAAAATGGGATGTTTGAAAACTTACATGAATCGAAAGACAGGACCGATCTTGATGAGTAATAGTGGAAAAATCAACTTAATGAAGCGA